TTTTTAAAAATATCCACATTCTTTTTCTCAAAAATATCTTGCAATACCTTTTGAAATCTTTCTACAATTACAAATCAATGTTTCATGAATTATCATCTCATCCACCTATAGCCTCATCCAGTCATCTATTGGAATTTCTTACAGCGAGTATGTTGATGACGAGCTAGATGAAGGTTGTAATTGTAGAGTAGCTACTACTCCAGGTCGAGTGGTTGATCTGGTGGAGTACAACAGCCAAGTAAAAATTGAGATGATCTTGCAAATGGTAGCATAGAGCATTAATGACTGGAGCAGCTACAACAGTTTTGTGCTTGTTAACACTTGGTTGATTGATGGTGTTCACTTCTTAAGCCGCTATAAAACTAAAGCCGGGCAACAAGCTGCCTTTAAGATGGTGTCCAGAGTACTTCAGAGAAACATGAAAGAGTCTGACAATTGAGAATGGTATCACCTTGTTTAAGAGCAAGAGTATTACAGGAAGCTGCCGAGTTTCCAGTTCTAGCTACTCACATGGTTATTTTATTTTTTTTTTGTCTTTTTCCAGAGGGTTGACAATATTCTCAACATCCTGGCTACCACATAATTTTTCTACAGTCTAAACTGCACTACTTGATCTATGAAGAGCCTCCACCTTCAACAACAAGCTTCAATGCCGAGCAACAACCTTTGCATAACACTAATGCTACTATCGTATTAGCACTCACTTGCCGATCAGATTGGTCATCAATTGAACCCCCATCCGATAGCAACGTCACCTATGATCAACCGTAAGCAACAGCCAATGTGCTAAATTATCTATGGTAATGCAATCATGGCAAGATGTGCGCTCTGATACATAATGAGGGCAACACCAAGCTCTTCTTCCTTGCAATCTCTTGTTGGAGTCTACTGCACCAAACGATCAACTGCCCAGCGGAGCAGTGAGGGTAGAATGATCGATACTAGCCGATGTTGGTATCAACTAATAACTAAAAGAAGAGCAAAAATTGGTGTAGACTCACCACCACTGCAACACAGCATTTGCAGAATCCAATGTGGGAAAGAGGGAGCAAAACCTACACCATCCAGCCAAAACTCCAACTCCACCTCTTCGTGTACAACTCACTAGAAGGTGAGCAACGAGGACATATGCAATCAAACCGTTCTAACAGCGAAGCACACAGCAGAACGTCAACGCACTAGTCAAAGATGAGCCACCAAGGTCTCGAGAAGTGGAAGCAGCGCGATCGTGTATTGCCTAATTGCAAGTTGGAGATACATGTCGAGGCAGCTCGGCAGTTCCTGCAGTCCAGAAAACGTGACTCGAACCTTCTAGCGGCCACAACTCCACATAGAGAAGTTGTCTGGGTATGTGTGTTCTATATCATGGCATTGCTCCACTTGACACTCCGCCGCAGTCACCAGGAGCAACAAGGAAGAAAAATCTAGACAAGGCTAGTAACTGCCGAAGCTAGCGGCCGCAGCCAGCAACACAATCGCCGTCAAACAAGGGGAGACAGCAACGCCCTGTCACACGCAACTCTGCCGCAGGAAGAAGGTGCCTTTAATCTGCACTTTAATAGCTCCAAAACAAGGATACGTCGTCGGCAACAATACTACTAAGACTACCCAACAACGGCACCTAACCACCATAAGTAGACACGATCTGAAACAGCCTCCTCCCACAACAGGAAGCTAGTAACCGATCCACGCCACCAACAGAACTGATCACAAAAGAAAAAAAATAAGATGGCACTGCTACACCGCAGCATTCTAACTGAAAAACCATCTATTACTTCTACATGTACAAAATTAATTTTCTTTATCAAAATATAATATGTCTTTTAATCAATTCATTGTTAAAAAAAAAAAAAAAAAAAAAAAAAAACAAGATAAGAATCCTAAATCTAGCAAAATAAAGACTTTGTGATTTTTAGATCCTAAACAAATATCAATCATAAAACAAAGAAAGGGTTTTGAGAAAAAAACAAGACCTTCACTAAGTATTGTATGAAATTCTACTTACATGGTTTATGTTATTATTAGACATTTTTTTTTTTTCTAATACATTATCTTCTTTAACAACCTTATTCCTCATTTTGTGGTTGCACTACTTTAAAAAATATTGAGAAATGTGTCTAAATTCTCTATAATATAAGCATAATCCTTTTCAACAATAATAAGTTTATTTTTTGTTTAATAAGAGGTTTAAAACATATTGCATCAATTTACATGTCTTCTATTTTTAAATAAATGTATTGATAAGATGTTGATGTTGCCATTAAATTTTAAAAATTTTGAGGTTCAATTATGCAATTCTTATATCAAATCTCAAAAAGTCAATTATCACACTACTTAGCAAAGTCAATTGCATGACTCAATATTTAATAATTGAATAATTTTAGCATTAATTATTTTTATTTTATATTATAATCTATAAAAAAATTTACCAATAAATGTAGCATCATTTTATTTAATATCAATTGCAAGTTGATAAAATTATATAGCATATAATATTATTAATCAATTATTTTATTATGAAATATAAATCTTATTACTTGTAATATAAATTTCATCATGTTTTTATACATGAATTGAAATTCTACCAAAAAAGCCTCTAAATTATCTAATATTAAATCATGTTATTCAAGAAAAGATAAAAATTATAATAAAACAAAACTTAAAAGTAATGTTTCAATAAATCTAACTTGTGATCATAGAATTGAATAGCTTTGAGCTTGAAGTTCAATCACTAATTAAATTTAATTCATGAATACTTTAAATTTTAAATTTATACCATCAAACTCAAGCAAGATAATTTTTGGTTCTTTAATACTTAAATGGTATTCTAGTATAGGAGAAGTAATATGATTTGATATAGATGTTGAAGTAATTCCAATCATCTCAATATCTTTATTTTTTTTCAATCTTATTGTTCTTTGTAGTAATAAATTGAATTAATGCATTAGAAAGTTTAATTTCTTCATTTTTTCTTGCATTTTTGCCATTGCATTCTTCATTTCAACAAATTTTTATAAAATAATATAATAATAAAAATATCTATTTTTACTCAAAATAAATAGAACAAGGATTTAAATTTTTTTTTAAAAAAATCTAAGAACAATATTAGTTTAAAAGTGGATAATCCATAACTTCTAATATACTTATATCTTTTCAAGACAAAGGGATATTTAACTCTTAATCAAGAAAAGACAAAGCTATCATATTATACGTATCCTCTTATAAATCTATCAAGGATAAGAATTCATAGAACATAAACAAAAAATGATGAAAAAAATAAATATATATATTTATATATATATATTCAAAAAGAAACTAGAATGGCTATTGCCAAAAAATTCTTGAAATCAAACTAAAAAACTAGATATTCTTGAAACTAAACTAAACAATTAAAGATTCTTGAAACTAGATTAGAAGTAAGAAACGAAAATAGACATGTATAAGAACAAAGTCATGTCTATGAATAAGTAGATATTATCAAATTTATCTACTTATAGCTACTTCTACTATCTATAATGTAATTATTTCTATCATCTAGGTAATTATATGAATAAATATGCATATTTATGATAAAAAATATAATTATTTTTTAAGGTATTTTTTATATTTATTTAGAATAAATTTAGAAATAATTATATTATCTTTAAATCTATTATAGATAAAATATCTATAGATAAGATTTGTTTAGATCAATTTTTTATTTTTTATATTACTATAATTTTAAGAGAATGTTAAATAGATCCAAGTTTTTATTAAATCAATCCACCCATCTTAGCCATCATAAAAAAAAAAAAAATCTAAATTTATTTTTCCATTATTAGATCTACAACCAATAAAAATCAACGATATTCATTATAATTATCATATTCTTCATTAAGTGTGGATCTATTTAACATTCTTTTAATTTTATATCTAAAAATGTTAGTGATATAAATAAAGTAGAAAGAATGTCATAGCCAATGAAACTTGGTAATGGTCTTTTCAAGTAATTTAATGAGATATTTCTAAACCAAATTCATTTGTTATTTTTTTATTCTTTAATCATATCTAATCCAAAATAAATTATCATAAAATATATTAATAAAAATTAAGCAAACTTAATGCATATATAAATTCAATACAGAATAAAATGTACCTAAAATATGATGGAAGTTTAGTTGCACTTAAAAATTGTGCAACCTTGGAATTAATGTTGAAAATAAAAGCAGCAGGAGGAGGAGGCAGCGGCCGAGCTGAGATGAATTAAACCATAGTCGCTTCACACACACCCCCTCCATGGTTTTTGTAAGTGTCATGTCGCTCAGGGATGACAAACAAAAGGTTCAAACAACAACAAGCGCTCTGGCTCTGGCTCAAATTTCCTTGGTAGATACCTCCGTCCTCGTTAGTTGGTGTGCTCGATTCCTAATATATTAAGGGGCCTTTGTTATCAGGTGAACATGGTTCGAAATCACTTCCGGAAAAATCCACATACTTCTCGACTTGAAGTTCTGACAAAAGATGTTGTCTACTATCCCTGGATCCTATGTACGAATCGGTAGCAAACGCGCACCTAATACGCAGCATCCGCTCTCGTAGTGAAGTAGAAGCTAATTCGAGTTGGTTCTGCTCCCTCCATCGATATTAATCTTTTCATTTGTGGCTCTTACTTTCTGCTATAATTGTGTTTAATATTTATAAACTATGTGTTTCTATATTGCACATCGAATCTTGGATTGGTAATTATATCACATAAATTTCAGATGCTCATACTATTGAAAGGATAGATAAATAAACATTATTAAAATAAACTGAAATTCAAAACTGAAAGAAAACCCTACGGGTTTGATTAGCTGGGAATACAATCCGGAGCAGAAGCCTCTTTAGGAAACATCAAAGTCGATGCATCGCGAGGACAGTTCTGCATGAACATTGCAACATATCATCACTGATATCATGCGCTAGTTCAGGACCATGAAGATAGGTTGTAGCAACTCGGGGAGTGATGGCGCATGAGTAAATACAAGCACATTTCTCAGATCTCGGCGATTAATTGAGAAATACAACTCAGTTTATCTCCGAGGAAACATGGAATTCAAATGATGGAGCTGTTAACATGAGTTTGAGAATCCTGTCACTGCAGCATCCCGTCTGGTTGACAATCGTAGAAATTGAAAGAATGGCTAGACTCTGGTTGATTTTACCATTAGTCCTAACTCGATTCACCAAATGTGGGTAAATACTTTGCACCAAATCGCAAAAAAATTCTCAATGCTAACGATTCCACTCTCCGACGAGAAACTGGACTAAATTTAGAATAGATGATTTTATAGTTTATCCCTAAAAAACCATCTCACATGGAGAACTGTTCTTGGATTCTCTCATCCTTGATTATCATTGATCGTTCAGCCTTCAACACGTTTGCCGTAGGAAGGGACTATCCGAAAGTTGAACTGCAGCATCCCCGTGCATGCTGATAAAAACTCATTACATCTGTGTGAGGTGGTGAAGTGTGCACGAAATAGATCATGATGGCCAGCCGCACAAATAACGAATCTCAGCATCGGACCACATGCGGGGATGCCCGCGCGGAGAATGCTCTTGCGTATTGCGGAGGATGGCACCCTCTCATGTGCACCTGCAATGAATCTGGTTTGAATGTCCGTCGACAGATCCTGAACATGCATCACGATTTGTATGTTAGAAACTGCGAAATCGAAAAAACTTGTAACTCTGTTGACGATACTGTGCTTTACGTAGCGATGAAATTCAATGCACCAGTGTAACATTCATGGTAATGACAGTAGAGTAACCTGTGATCATTTCTCAATCTGAAAGTGGACCCCACACGCAAACCACACAAAAAGCGAATTAGCACATGTCTGTGTCCGAGACTTACGAGCATTCCTGAAGGATGTCGCTGAAGTTCGGTGGCGGTAAACAATCAGTGGTGGCCTCTTGCAGAGCCTTCTCCCAGTCCAAAGTCGTCAATCCAGGTACAAGCGGCCTGCAGTCAGATAGGACGCATATAGTTTAGCGCGACAGCTTTCAATGCCACGATTCTACCTTCTAACAAGCTTAGCGGCATACAAAAATACGGGATTCAAGGCGAATAGTAAATGTACAAGGCGTAAATTGACCTACATCTCTTCTCTTGCACTGTAGTTGATGCGCTTCTTCACAATTGTTTTCTCCGGTGAAGGAGTACAGGCCACGGAATCCTTATCTGGGCATAGGGAGATGGCAGCAAGCGAGCTAAAGCCCCTCACTGCATCCCTGCTGAAAGACCGCACCAATGGTGGGGATGCAAGTGGAATAGAATTTCTGGGAGTTCTCCTCGGGGTGATCTGCACTGGTTTTGTGTCATTGGTTCCCTTGTGAAAACCGGGAGGAAGAGGCTTTGATGATGCGATTGTCTTCAGCTTCGAAAGAGTGTTCCCTGTTTTCGCTCTGCACAAGACAGGAGGAAAGGAGTTAACCTCACTCGATGACGAAAACCACGCCAGAATGGGAAGGAAAAAGACTAGTGGAATAGCTTCTGAAATAAAAAAGATGAGCTTACCTGGCTACTGCTGGTAGAGGGGTGTCAACTTCTGCTTCTGCGGGCCCGCTGGGTGCGTCAGATGTCAAACCTTCAAGCACGGCAATATGCAAACCAGGTGTTTTCTCAGACAGTATTCCTTGATCCGTTCTCAAATCCCGTGGTTCAGGGTATGGTTGTGAAGCCTGTTCACTGACAATTGTCTTGATGGTACAAACGTCCCCACCCCCGTCAGTTTGTGCATGAGGACTTGCAACCTCCGTAACGTTCTGAACAGTCATCGGTGACGGATAATGCATACACTCCTCTGGCGGTAAAATCTCCTTTATCTCAAGAGAAACACGTGCTTTGCTCTGCACTGCCAGTGATTGACGGGTCTCTTGATGGGAACCTTCAACGTGAGTTGATCTAATCTCTTTGTAAGGCGACTTAGTTCGGTACGGCGAGTTATGCTTGGATTCTGGAATCTTTGTGGATGCCCCTTCACATGTATTGTAAGGGATCCGCTTACCCTTGCTGCTTCCTCCAGTCCACCGAGCCCAGAGTAGTCTGATCAGCTGCGAAGTGGACTGTTCAACCTCCTCTTTGTCGATCTGCACTTCTTTTAACTCGTTAAGGCTGGAGGGGCTTGGGCTTTTTGACCGGCTGTCTCTCCAGAATGAATTATCTTCGTGAGTGCTGTGGGTGTTTGGTGGAAGTTCCATATGCACCGCTGTAAAATCTTCAGTAGAGACTGAATTCACATTCGACGAGTTTCGAGTTCGAAAGAGACTCTTTCTGATTTCTTTCTCCCACAGTCTCTTTGTTCCACCGGGAGAGAATGGCAGTTCCGTCGACGACTTGAGGGACGGACTTGGAGGGGTATGTACACCATGAACTGTTGACGACTTCGTCATCACAACGAGGTTGACGTCCTTTACAGGTTTGATGCTGTCGACGGTCATTTTAGGACGTGGAGAGATTTCGGTATCAGAAGACGACAGGCAGAAGTCTGACTTCTCCACATCCATTATTTCTTGGTCCGCATATAGAGTGGGTAGGCTCTGGGAAATAACAGCCGATACACCTCTCAAACTTTTGACCTCCTCCAAATTTGCACCAGAGTTTCGAACCAAGCAGTTCAATTTATCGCCAATGCGTCGGTTCTCTCCACTTTCAAGAGCTCCAAAATGCACATCACCGATGATCGTGTCTTGCTTCGAGGTTACATTGTCGAGTAACATTGTTGGAGAGCTTTGCATACTTTTGTTCGAATGCCTGCTGTGAACATCGCACGACTTTCCTGCAATTTCGTTGCAACAATAGATATTAAGCTAGAATTAGATAACAAAACCCTCAAACGAAGCTCATAAACGCTTACAAAACAGCTCAACATTCAGTGGTAGACTTTAAGTTGACATAGGCATCCTTAAAAAAAACTATCGTCAGCCAAGTTTTTGAAGGTTGAAATCTCACTTTCATTAGTGTCAATCAATTCTGAAGCTCTCAAGACGTACTCTCCAGAACCGCATAGGGGATGGATCACATCGTCATCACTCAAGTCGTTCCAGATAAATGTCTTACTGTAAGTCCTGCGCAATGGAAGCAAAAACAGTTAAGTCAGAGTTTAGAGCCAGGACTTAATCTGACAAGTCTGGCTTTGTCGATGCATTTGACTTGAACGTTACGAAAAAATCGATTGAAGTTCCGTCGCAAGTGAATTAAATTAGAAAAGAACCTCTTGTAGGACCATGAAAACGAGTCGTTGATGCCATGACCACGGAGCCTGGTGAGTCGCTCCTTCACATCTGCGACGGAAGAAACACTTAAAATTATGCATCAGTTTTCTTAGATATATAAAGAAACCTGGAAATCAGAGGTGTTCTTACATCAATGCAGATGCAGCGAATTCTCAAAGAAGTTGGAGTTAAAAGCAGACCAATGAAGTCTTGGAAACACTATATTTCAAAGCAATCAAGATTATTGGGTCTTAAAATCTGTTGACAGAGATCATCGCTGGTTACGTCGAATAAAACTACCAGATTAGGAATGTACTAACCTCTCAGACGGAGGCCACCTTGGTCGGACGCATACTCAACGTCGATTATGTGGGGATGCTCAAGTTTGCCATTCCAGCTGAGCTGATAAAGAACTTGCGCGCTCAAGAAATTTTCCTCAAAAGCCATAATTTCTTCGACTCAGAGTGCAGAAGATAGAGTTGCAAATCAAGATGCAAGCTCTGTGGGTGATGTCTGCTGTTATTGGGAAGTTTGGGATCGCTACGGACTGGAGAATGAAGTTGGGACTACATACAAGGCGCGATTCGGAAGGACGCCAGCAAACTCCTCCCTCGCTCTTGTAGATTTCCCACGTCGTTTGATCTCCTAGGCTCAAATTCTACTCAATCAGGATTGGGGCATAGACGGTTCCGAACAAACTGAGGATTTATAATGCAATGTTTGGTGATGAACTTAGATGTTCTATGATGTGAGTGTTATGATATACTAGATCATTTCAGGCTTAGTGTGGCAGGTTTTTAGGAAACATGTAGGCGTGAATAGCAAATCATTAGGGTCGCTAATTGAGTGGACTAAGTAGCTTGACAATGGTGGAGGATGGCGCTGCCAATATTTTGCAATCACGCGACATAACTGCCTCAATGCTGGCAAACGAGCTCAGAGAATTTCATCAAAAGGACCCCCAAGCGCGTGGGCCTTGAGAGATGTATCGATAGTGAGGAATCTAGATATGCACTACAAGTTCAATAATCTAACGATCTAGAGCCTACACCTAATCACAAAATTCCACAAGATAAAAAAGATATAATCATCACAGAATTTCCTACGAACTCAATCCTCCAGCATAATCCAAGTGCTCATCGCTATCCACAAATTGCGAAGCCTGGCTGAAGAACAACAACAACAACAACTTGGGACAAACCCAACTCGCGATGATAACAACCCGAGTGCAGTGCAAAAGCAAAAGGCTGCCTAAATTCAAACGCGGCAGCCGATGAAGAAGTGCAATCAGAGCCGCGAGCTAATTCTGCTCAATATCGAGACGAACTTATGGCTAAGTCATGCGCTCCCTACACACAAGAGAGAGAACGCAAAGCACAGAAGCGTGGAACCAATAACCCTTGCTCCCGACGCTCACAACTGCGAAATCATTGGATGGCTACTTCTGACCTCGACCGATCGCAATGAACACGAAGTAGGCTGGGACAAAAGAAGACGAAGAAGGCGTGAAGAGTTGAGAGCCTCTCTCGCAATGCAGCTGAGCTAATGGGCTTGACTGACTACGACGAAGCTCTCTCTCCGCCCCTACGACCATAACTGGGAGGAGGAGCAGCAGCGGCAGCCTTATAAGCTCCCTCTCCCTGCATTGATGAGGAATCATCTTGTCCTCATCACCACCTCCCTCCCCTTCGACCAGTTTATGGCGCTAGTCGCCATGACTCTCGCTCTCTCGCTCTCACTCTCACACTTACCCGGCCCAGTTTACCTAAGTCCACCCAGTCCACCCTTGGGATTCTATTCCCACGCCACGGTTATGGATCCCTCCCGCCCCTTTCTGTTGTTGTTGTTGTTTTTTTTATGCACTTTGTTGTTGTACCCGTTTGTGGGAAAGTCCACACTTGACCGTGGCCTTGTCTGGAGCTGGCCGGGAGAATTGACCTCAGTTGTCACCCACTTGGGAATAGGAGACTGAAGTCATTTACTAGGCTTTCCATTTTATTTTTATTTTTATTTTTCATGTTTATTTTTTTTTGCAGTCTACTTCTTTGCAAAATTACTCATGTATTGAATTAGATTTCGTCACATCAAATCAGCCCAAGAGATGTTTCTTAATTTCTTTTTTTTTTGCTTTTGTTTCACTTTTTGGTGAGTATAGAGATCGACTTCTTTGTGTCATCTAGAACAACAATTAGGTGTGTTACTTTGGTACGATGGATGTATTGGTTTGTTTGTTTGAGAAATATATATATATATATATATATATGAATGAATAAATGAATGAGCTTGTTGGTTCAAAGTTGCAACAAGTATGAGTAGACAAGAAAAAAGATATATTTTTTCGGTCTTTTTTTTAATAATTGGGAGGTTTGTATTTGAAAATAGGTCATATATTTTACAATGCCAGGTGTGAGAGAAGTGACTCATTTTGGTGTTCCAACAATACATGGTAAATTTTAAATAGTTTTGTTTGAAATTGTATGTGGAACTTGTTTTTCTTAATATATTGTTATTTGAGCAATATGTAGTGTTTATTTGAAAATATCACTTTTGGACTTGATTATATTTTTAATTTCGTTTGTTCATAGTGGATATAGAAATATGAAATATGTAAGAATAATGATAAGTAAAGTCAATGATAACAATTAAATAAAGTATTAATAATTCTCTCAATGGCTATAGAAAATAGAGCTGAAAAAGTGATCTTATTTAATTCAATTTGTCAAATAATTTCTAAAAATGGTTAAATGGTTAAAATCAAAAGTATTTCTAAAAATATTAATATTAATATTTTATTTATAATCCTTAAAACCAAAAATAATAATAATTTTATGTATAATAAAGAATAATATGAATATTTATTTTTTAAGATAATATTTTAATAAATTTATTTTTAATAATAATTTTAAAATAAAATTATATTTTTTTACAAAATAAATAAGATTTATTATTTACTATTCTTTTTATCATATTCTAAGTAATCCTTGAACTACTATACAAAGCTATTACATTATCAATAATGATCAGTAATAATGTCATAATTCTTCTAGTTACAAAAAGGATAATAAATGAAGCATGTTTAATATAGAATCTTAGACTAGTATAGAACTATGTGCTTAGATTTAAAGAAGCTTATTAATATTAAAAGATTAAAAGTTCTTATCTATATTAGATAATAGTTTATACTATTGGAAGTGATTATGTATCATAGATATACATATTTATTTAAATAAGAAGTACTAAGTAGAAAGTAAATGTAGGTAGATTTGGTATTATCTTATGGAAAAACTTTTTAGAAGTCTTATAGAGCCATATTTGATTTTATACATATTTATAGTTGATTGATAGCTTAGAAACTTGGCCAACAAGTTTGCCATGTATTGTATATGTAGATAGCTTGTGGTACAAGCTAACAATATAGCATGCATATAAAAAAGTTGTCTTATAAGTTAAGATACATGTCTCACAAATTGGATACATGTTAGGAGTTCTATAGAATGTTGCTACATAGCTCCTAGTTAGATAGTATATATAGAAGGAAGAATGAAGCCTTCTTCACTCTTATCAAGACTTTTTTAATCTTTAGTTGTATTTCAAGTCTTTCTAGTCTTCTTATCTTTAGTAATAGCCATTTTAATTTAATATTATATTATCTTTGAATGATTTTCTAATCTACTTAAGTGACACAAGAATTTATTGATCTTTTAGTTCTTTGAAATTCATATTCTTGACATTATGTAATATTTTTTATAGCATCCATAGTTATATATAGATTATACCAAATTAATTATTATTATTATTATTTTAGAAATATAATTTAAAAACTTTAATATATTTTAATAATTAAAAATAATATATTCGAATAATTATTTCATCATATTCATATTTAAATATATAATTAAATTTTATATAAAAATATATATTTTTTTTTTTGAAAATAAATTAGTATCAAAGACATGAATTTCAAAGAACTAAAGGATTAATACATTCTTGTGTTGCTCAAAAAGACTAGATAATTATTCAAAAATTATATAATATTAAACTAGAATTTCTATTGCCAAAGATAAGAAATGTTATAAGTACACTACACAAGAGACCAAACAAAAAGTTGAATGAAAGATTTTTAACAAAAAAACTAATAAGATCTTAATTAAACCAGATGAGTATAAGATCAATACCAAGAAAGATGAGCTAGAGGTCTAAAAGATGTATTGTTGAGACTAAAGATTTCCTTGGTCTCAACTCTAATATATTTTAGGTATTAAAAAGCTTTTCAAGAAGTTTCCATATTACTTGAAGATGAAGTAATCTTAGAAAGCTTCTTGAGAAGTTTCTATATTGCTTAAAGATATAAAAATCTTAGGAAGCTTCTTGAATAACTTCATTAATCTTCTTAAAACTTTTTAGAATCCGCTAAAATATTCTAAAAATCTTTTAGAACTTTCTAGAATATTTTTAAAATATTCTGAAAATTCTTTTTAAATCTTTTTAAATCTTTTAGAATATAATAGAATATTCCTAGAAATTTCCTTAAATCTTCTTATTAAATGTATGTAACATCACTTCTCCTTCTAACTTTGAGTTCTACAAAGAGTGTTAATTTTATATTTGATTTCTTTATTATATATAACATCCTAGCAATAGCTTCATAAAGAAGTCATTCTAAAATAGGTTTAGAGTTTTGAAAATATTTTCGATGAAATTCTTATATCTTTTGTGGTGCATTAGTTAAATTTTGTCTTGGTTTCTAGGCATGCATATTGATATCATAGCTCTGCCAATGAATAAAATATTCTAACTTATTTCTTTTTTTTCATGAATCAAAGATCTTTTCTACCTCATATTCCACATGATTATCTATTTCAATACAAGGCAATGTTGGTTATATTCTTTTTGAAATAATTGATTCTAAATAAATCTCTAAAAGAAAAACATAAAAAACTGGATGTACCTTTATAGATGTAGGTAGTTCCAACCAATAAGCCATTAGATTGATATGCTTTTGAATACAAAATAGCTTTAGTCTTTTGTAGTCCAACTAATTGTAATGCTAATTAGTCTTGATATTTTGTTGAAGAAGCCATATTTTATTTCTAACTTAAAAAGTAGAAAATTCTTTTTTTAATTTATCTAAAGATACTTTGTAAGAATCTTGGGCTTCTTGTAAATGAAGCTTCAAAGTTATCTAGAACTATGAAAATTATTTTGTAAGATCTTTAGTAGTTGGATTATCATCTTTTGATGTACCTAATAAATTAAGTTTTAGATGGTAACCTTAATTGGTGTAAAATGATGTTTATTAAATTAAATCATGAAGGATATTATTATTAGAAAATCCTACTAAAGATAAATATAAGGTTCAATCATCTTATTGATAATTGATGGTACATCATAAATATTGCTCCAAAACTTAATTGACTTGTTCTATTTAACCATCAATTTGAGGATGGAAGGTAGAAAAAAGTTTGATATCCACCTTCAATATTTCAAAAAATATATTTTCAAAATTTTGATATAAATTAAGGTCCTTAATCAAAAATGATGTCATTAAGTAGGCCATGATATTGATATATATTATCAAAAAAGATTCTTGCATTTTCTTCTCTAAAAATTATTTTTTTGTATGGAACAAAATAAGCCATCTTTGTAAGTGAATCCACAATAATGTAGATAGCGTCAAATATATCTAATGGTAGTAGATCAATGATAAAATCTATTGATATTGAAGACCATGGTTGCTTTGGAATTGGTAGTGGCTATAGAAATCCATGATGACAATGTCAAGAATTCTTAGATTATAAATAGATGTCACATGAGAAAACAAAGTCCTTCATGATTTTTTATATTTGATGCTACTAGAAATCTTAAGAAATAAGTTCTAATATTTTTTTTAAATCCAAAATATTATGCAATTAAGAAATCATGACAAGATTAAAGAACACAAAGTTGCACCGATCTTTTTAGAATATATAAACAATTTTCAAAATACAAAAGTTCTTTTACAAACTTAAAACTTATTGTTATGAAAGCATTGCTTGATATTGCAAATTAATGAGTCCTTACTTGATGCTATATAAAAAATTTTAAGAGAATTTGAATCAACAAATGTAACCATAGAAGTAGTACAAAGATAAAATTATTTTGGCTATGAAAGAGTCATAAGATGTGTAGAACCTTCCAATAAGTGATGCCACTCTTGGAAAGAATCTACAATTACAAGAAGCTTTTTATCATGATTCTCATAATTGATATCTGTAGCTAAAAATAATTTAGAATAAAATGCAAATAAGTAGAGCTTTCTATCTTTTTCTACCTATGATAGTACAACTTTTAATCCAAAGTAGAAAATATCAATCTCTAAATAGAAGATCTTCATAAAATTTTGATGCAATAAAATTGAAGTTGTAGTAAAAATTACCTTCAAATCTTGAAAAGCTCTTTGTGCTTGAGGTTCCTATTCTAATTTGTCTTTTGATGTCAACAAAATAAGAGGAGCAATAATTTAAGAATAATTCTTGATAAATATCTAATAAAAAATAGAAAATTTAAAAAAATATTGTACATTCTATACTATCTTTGAAATTACCTATTCTATTATAGCTTAAACTTTCTTTGGGTCCATCAATAGGTCTTCAGAGGATATAATATATCCAAGA